ATATACATTATATTATATATTAATATAATTATTGTGCAATATATAATATGTAATATAATTTAAGAAAATTTAGAAATCAGCAAGATACGAAGAATTGGAATAACTTACCAAGTGTTCGGAAGACGATTGGTCGACTTCGAAATTTTTTGCCGGCTCTCACGGCAGTGACGACAAGTTGGTATTGCGTATCAGCCCTGAGGCCGCTCAACGTAACAGCTTCGCTATTTCCTGCGACCACCGCCACCACCCTGTAACTAACCACCTTGCCGTTGTATTTCGATTTTTTAACTTCCATTTCTAATCTATTACGCGATTTCTAAATATTAATTTAAGTCTTGTTCTACGATTGTTACAAAGAAACGAAAACTGTGCTTTCTTTTTAATTCACTACATTTATCGGGAAGAACTGCGAGCAAATTTCTCGTGACTAATAACTATTGTGCAACGTGACAGGATGAATTTTGTCACAACTACTCTAGAACTTCGTGTAATAATTCTTTATATATTTTATTTCGTAATATATCATGTAACTATCTTAATTAAAATAAATTTGTTAATTTTATACAAATGTAAATTTTTATATTTCCTTAATACAAAAAAAGAGAAATAAATATTAGAGGCTGCGTATTAATAAGGTGAGCTATTTTTGTGCAAAAATTTTCTTATTTCGATACTTTTAAATTTCGCTATTTCACACGCAGATGATTAAAAATAAGAAAAATTTGGGAACTTTTTCATTTTGGGAATATTTACATGAATTGTTAATATTTATTAAAATCCTAGTAATGTAATTTTTATCTCCGCCTCTCAATTTGTTTAACTAGAGATATTGCAAGTCTTAGTTATAAATTATTGTTTTTATATTTGCAACAAAGTATAAAATTTATGTAAGAGTATTACAAACTATACACAAAACAATTGAATATATAAAAGTACTTTCACCGAAAACATCTTGTTTAATAAACAAGTAAAAGAAAAACTAATGTACTGAGAAAATTAGCAAAAAATTTTTAAATAAAAATAATACTTTCTGAAAATCGTGTAAAAAGATAAGGAAAACGTATTACAAGCTAGATAAAAGTACGTAAAATCTGTAAACGTGATAAAACGTGTTATAAAAGTCTAGAATGCGAATGTAAACAGAGTGCAATAGTTCCGCACATGCACAGTAGATGGCGTCAGGTCAGCCTGACGTGATGCAGCTAACGAGTTTCCTTTCTTTGCATTACATTCTCTTTTCCCCGTCAATCTAGTAGCGTAGCTATAATAAAGAACGAGACTAAACAAATGATAAAAATTGTGAGAAAATGTATCGAACAAAGGTAAGACGATTAAAATGAATGTTACCAAATGCTTACTTGTTATTATGGTCAATATAAATAATTTTCAAAATTATCAATCTATCATCCCTTTTAATTGTATTATAAAAAATTCGTAAATTACTAACTTCATACTTTCACAAGAAAGCTCAGATCTGAATAAATTTTTATACAATTATACGACAGGTAAATACAATATATTTACGTATTATATTAACTATATAATATATATTATCATATATAATATTAATATAATAACGTACATAATATATAATATATATGATATATAATATAATAATACATAATACAATATAACATAACATAACAAGATAATATAACACACATAACATACATAATATAATATAACTTATACAATATATAATAAATATAATTAATATATAATTATATTCTATATTAATACATATAATTCAGTTGCTGTAATTCAAATTAAAGGAACTAATTCAGAGATACATAAAGATTGAAATAAAATTTTTCAACAAAGATGGCGAATTATCGAAATAATAATTTACAAAAATTGGTTACCCGTTTCCAAATTAGCATTACAGAAATGGATCTTGGAATATTTTTGTACAAGTTTCTTTGTGATTTTATATATTGTCTTAAGCATTTTCTTTAATAAATCGTCTCGTAAACTATACTCACAAGTCTTGTGGATTATCGCGGAAAAGAGATTCGTAGCAACAATTTTCATGACAATTTTCCGCTACACGCCCATTCAGTTTATGCTCACGTATTCACGCTATTATAGAACCATCAATCTCCGAGATTTCACTGTAATACTTTCAGAAAATATTCTCGAGATGCAATGCTACTAGAGAACGCACGAAGCGGAAAATAGACTTTTTAATTACAATGTTTAAAGGCCAAAAGGTCTCTGGAAAAGAAAACACGTCGCACTGAAAATCTCTCGAATCGTGTTAATCTGATTATGTACGTAGAGCTTGTTGGTTTTAATTTTTCTTATGTCCTTGAGTGCAAACATACTTCACTTCGATAAGAAATTTATGATAATGTAGCGTGAAAATATAGTACCCATTTAAAGTCTTTTTAAATTCGTGAAAAGTAATTTTCTCTATTTATGAATTATTTCGAGGAGAAAATTTTGAAAAGAAAATTAGAGAGATATGAAAAACTGATTATAATTGTTAAGTACTGTTTTATGTTATCATAGTCCAGTTTTTTATTTACATAAAAATCATTCAATTAATTAATAAAATTATTTCGAGGAGAAAATTTTGAAAAGAAAATTAGGGTGATATGAAAAATTGATTATAATTGTTGAGTACTGTTTTATGTTATTATAGTCCAGTTTTTGATTTACATATAAATCATTCAATTAATTAATAAAATTATTTCGAGCAGAAAATTTTGAAAAGAAAATTGGAGAGAAAAATTGGTTATAATTGTTGAGTACTATTCTATGTTATTATAGTCTAGTTTTTAATTTACATATGTATAGATAATTTAAAAATATTTAGAAACAATTTTTCAAAAATCACATTCAAGGCATTTAGGAAATTTTTCTGAATAGATTTATTATTATTTATTTCCAAATGCATTTTAATATTGTATGTACGAAATTTTTAATTTTAATTTTAATTTTTAGAAATAATAAGAATTTATTAATATCAGATTATTAAGAATTAATTTACTAATTAATTGATTATAATTGTTGAGTACTATTCTATGTTATTATAGTCCAGTTTTTGATTTACATATAAATCATTCAATTAATTAATAAAATTATTTGGAGGAAAAAATTTTGGAAAGAAAATTAGGGTGATATGAAAAATTGATTATAATTGTTGAGTACTGTTCTATGTTATTATAGTCTACTTTTTAATTTACATATGTATAGATAATTTAAAAATGTTTAGAAACAATTTTTTAAAAATCACATTCAAGGCATTTAGGAAATTTTTCTGAATAGATTTATTATTATTTATTTCCAAATGCATTTTAATATTGTATGTACGAAATTTTTCATTTTAATTTTAATTTTTAGAAATAATAAGAATTTATTAATATCAGATTATTAAGAATCAATTTACTAAACATATGCAAGTTAATTACATCTGTATTTAAGATAATGTTTACAGTGATTGGAATTGACTAATTAATTAGTATTACTAATTAGAAATTGCTCATTAATCTAATAATTAGCAATTAAACTTCCTATACTAGGTGCTGATTAATTAATAACATCAATTAATAATGTTGGTCACTAATAAATTATGAAATGCTAGTTGGATGCTAATTATTAATTAATTAATATCTACGGTTACTAATTATTTCGTAATTATAATTAGTAATTACAATAAAGCGTCGATATTGAATGTAATACAGATCTATTTTATAGAATGGTTCTAGGATATAATAAAAGCAAAGGGACTATTTTTAAATTATTTTCGAAAATTTTTAATAAGGAATAATATTTCTATTAACTGAAACATATGAATAAGAATATTATATCCAAATAACTATACTTAGGTATATTAAGAGTACTTAGATAAGCAATTATTATAGAAACTTCGTAATTAATTTTATAAATAATTATTCCAAAAATAACGAAATTTGAGCGTATAAAGAACTTTTTCTAAATAAATACTGTTTCATTAATAAATAGTGCAATTTCTTATCTATCAAAGATGAAGTTACAATATAGTAAAAAGTAAATAGTATTTTTACCATGAAATGTCATATTTATTTTGTAACAACTGAATCTAAATTTTCTACAGGGTACAAAATTAATTAAAAATAATATTTAGAAATAACATTGCTACATTTCTTTTCATAACGAGAAGATAACTTTTATCTACATGAAATTTACATTAACAAATTGTTTATATAATTTTTAATATATTAACGAAAATTTAGGAATAAGAATTTTATAAAATAATAGTTCAGTATTTATATAATTTCTAATATTTAATATTTAATATTTAGAAATGTAAAGTTCCTAATTTAAAATGCTCATTGATAGACGTAAAATAATTATTTTGTGCGAAATGTCAACTGAAACAAAGTGAACTGAATTACTGACTGAATTTGTAATATAATTTTAAAACATAATTATTTATGGATACATTTTATTATTCACGTTCTCTTATATTTGGAAGTCTAGAGATTTCAAAGAATTTTCAAATTTCATTACTTCAAATCTAATTTTATAAAGTTATTTGACAAATCATTACTTTTGATTTATTACAAATATCTCATGAAATATTTTACATTAAATGTAAAGTAATATGTTTACAATGAAACGAATATGAAATTACGAAATAAATTATTTGCCTTTTGCTATGATTACTTGTTATTTAATTATGATAAAAATAATTGGTTTCATTATATATAATGCCAAGCTTTTATATTATTAGTGCTCCTTGTTAACACTATTATTATAATTATTGCTATACTTATCCCAAACGTTATACCAAATACTTATTTTTAATTAAAAAATAAATAATCTTTTTTCATATTATTTATTAATTAGATAATTTATCAATTTATAATGTTTATAATATATATGTAATATATTTCAATATAATTTATTTATTACAATTTATAATACATTTCATATTTAATTGGTCGAAATAGAGGAAATAATATCAATTGGAATGTATCGTTCATTAAATAGTAACTAACGTTATTGGAAATAATCATTTTTAAATCATTTTAATCATTTTTAAATTTTTTGCTCAGATGTGTTCTAAATTTGTATTCATAAATGCTGCGTTATGCTAATCTTTCACTATAAGCAAGCTTTCTTTTGACTTGTATTATAGATATGTCGCTGTAAATGAAAATGGGCTTCAAACGAAACTAATGCAGCTTCTTGATGGCTGGTTTTTTCATTTTCGCAATTTCCATCATTCAACTCATTTTGAATAGCAACGACAATTTCTATATCGATA